TTATTTCTGCTAATTACATCTTTTACCATATAGGTGCACAATTCAAAACTTCAACACTACAGGATATACAAACAGTACAAAGTAATGCATTTTTAAAGCAGAAACAAATCTTAATTTCACAAGGAATGTACATTTAAATATCACAAACATAAAACATATATTACATTTAGGATTCCCACTAAAGCCAGCATTGATCCCATGCAGCCTGAGCTGATTTACCAGGACTATACCCATTGATCAGCCCCTACTGGTGGGAAGGGGCTGCGGGGTCCCAATGAAACCAGTACATTGATCCAAAGAAACAGAGAGAGATTAGACACATGTGAAAGTGAACATTGATCTCCAGCTGCCTCCGAAGGGCACTCCTGTCCTGATGGGTGAGGGAGATCCATCCCCCCCTACTCTTACTCCCCTCCTTCTCCCACTCCTTCACTTTGCTCGCTGGACCATGCATCAGTATTGTGTTCCTCTGACCATGTGCTGCTCTCTCACAGTGAATGAGCTTTCGATCAGTGGGAGGCACCACCCAAAACAGCAACAACGGAGAGCTGTGCACTGCACATCTGCCTACACTGTAAAGATTGCAATCACAACCACTCTGAAATAACTCGTTAACATTCACCTCGTGGTTTATCTTTTGACAAATCAAAAACCTGCTTCATCACTAAAGTGGAGTGTTTTCATGTCTCTATTGTAGCGCAGTGGTATTCCCTCCGTGCAAGAAGGAACCACATGTGACTACAGCGCACGCACCATTTCTCATCAGTTGCACACATGTCAAACTGATAAATGAACCAAATAGTAGTACTGGGCAGCCGGGGAGTCCCATATGCTTCAGCCTAGAACGAAGGAAGTACAGCCTATAGATGGGCAGCACAGCCCACTCCTCTAAACCTCAGTTGTGGGGTAAAGAGACATTCACCTCAGGGACTGCAGTAAATATGTTACCCCAGTACACTGTAGCAAGATGGCTACAATGCATCAACCTCTGCCACATGCGTCTCTGCAGAAAATGACGCTCAGGAAAGAAACTTTTGCTTTCATTCATCAGTTCCTCTTCCTCTTTGCAGGATTATTTGATGCAATCATAAAAAGTGAACAATAATATAGCAGCAAAAAAAAGTACACTTTGAACAAGTTCAGCAGCTCCCCTTCATCCTGTTATGTACACAAACATTTACATATTAATATTTAATCTAGGGCGCCAGAGTAGTAGTGAATGGGACAATCATCCAGCAACTCAGGATCTTCCTCTCCTAACCCTTGGAGGGAGGTTGTGAAATAGAATAGAAGGTGGACCGTACCTGTTTGCCAGATGTACAGGGGTTTATTTTCCACTGCGGTTTGTGCATCCAGCTCCCAGATGGAGAAAAAGAGCAGTGCTAACCTACAGAGAGAGGGGAGCGGTGCCCCACTCAAGACTGCCGGTGTCCCCCCAGCTCTGTTGGGCAGCCCCATGGCCACCGCACGGCAACTACTGTAGTTCCCAATGCAGTCAGTAGGAAAAAAGCAAGCCTGTCCACGAGGATGAGTGCTGGACTTAAGTGTGTTTTCTGCTTTGTCCACACCAGCGCGTCCAAGAAGAAGTAATCCCGGACGAACGGGGCTGAGGTCTCCTCTCGCTCTCCTCTTCCTCTCTGTTTCTCTTTCTCTCTTGGCTCCTTAATGAGAGGGAACGAGGTCTAGCAGCAATAAAGCAGGGAACAATAGATCCCTAAGCCCAGCCTGCTGCTGCTGCTGCTGTATGCCGGGTTGATGCAGCACCTCCCTCTCTCCCTCTCTCCCTCTCTAACACAGCAGACACATGCACACACGCCCACAATCTCTACTCTCCCTCCCTCTCACTTGTCTCTCATTGCTATCTTAAAGGAAGTTGTTCTATGCTCTTACTGAAGTAGGCAGTTGGATCGACCAGGTAAAGATGTGGAAGTGTATTATTGGGTAAAATAGTGCCTTAAAATAATTTTTTTATAATAAAGACATAATTAAATAATCATCTGATGAAGAGGAAAAAGTAAGAGAAATGGGAATTAACAGGGATTCCACAGGGCACTGTCCTTGGCCCACTGCTCTTCAGTTTATATTGTAAATGAATTATTCACCAATATGTTGCAAAGCAGTTGTTAATGTGTGAACATCACATTGTTATATGTATTTGGAAGCACCACAGTATATCCCCAGTTTCTGGCATTGTCATTGCAAGACAAAACAAATTGTCAAACTGTTTGACACTTTCAATTAATATTCAGAAAACCATGGCATGTTTTCATCTAAGGATCAGCCATCAGCAGAAGTCAGTGCTCAAGTTTGAGATTTAAACTGGAGTTACATTCAGTAGAGTCCATACATCCATGCAAGACCTAGCAGTCCCCTTATGAAACCACATTTAAATTCACTAGATGCAGATTTCTAGATTCGACACCTCTCTTAGATCCTCACAAAATTCTAGGCTCTTCCCTTACAGATAGCTGTACAAGCAAACTAACCAAGTTTCATGGAAATCCATTATTTGTATGTGTGATCTTGCTTACAAGGTCCACACACAGCTTTGAATCTTCAATAGAAATCCCATGTTTAGCCCTGACAGTGCTCAATGTACAGTTTTGGAACATACTCACCAGCCAATCAATTTCAATTTCCAATTTCAATACTGTCTAAATTCCCAGAAGGGAAACAGATCATCAATGAAGAGTTACCTTGATCAGTACTTGAAATCAAGTGCATGAAGGTATGTTGCCACACTTGCTGGAATATCAAATGAAGTGTCTTTTGTCAGTCGTTTTTAAAATGGTTCACAGCCAAGTTTTACAGAAGTGTCCGAAGATGGTTCTTGTATCTTAGCAACAATAAGCGCTTGAGAGAAGCATTCTGCAAAATGAGGTCACAGTTTCTTCCTGAGCAAAAACAGCTGCTTGTAGACACAGTCCCTATGGGTGCCATTAAGTTTCTATCAAAACTTTCTGTTGCAAATTACTGGGTTGTTATGCATTTGTGCAGCCTCTTGAATTGATTCTAAGTGCAGTAGAGGCACAATATTAAGGGCTTATCTGCTTGATCAATCATGGGCTTATCTATCTTGACCTGCACGCTCCCTAACAGCCACTACTGTACACCGATTACTGCCACCGCTACTGTTTACTTCATAACCCAAAACATTTGTTCATTTCATTTGTGGCTTTTAGAAGAACTAAATAT